TAATACACGTTTTATAAAATGCTTCTCATGTGTACCTGCAAGCTAAAAGGCAGAGGACTTTTCTAAGGGATTTATACTTTCCCTTAGAGATTCATTCTTCCCATGTCCTCTAGTTTATGCAGATACAAATGTAAAAGTATGATGACTTGAAATTCTATTAACATTGGTATTCATCCGTCCTCAGGTTAGTATGTATCATAATAGAAGTCCTGCACTACAGTTTTGTTAGAACGGTTTTAGTCCTTGGAAATTCTCATGATTATAACATGTAAGTATCATGTGTAGCCAGAATATGTATTAAATAGGAACAAAAGCATCAAAATTCTGCTTGTAAAGTACTTAAAACAGTGCTGACGTCTGACCTGAGCTGTTCCCTATTTTCCTTCAGACTTCCTTGTAGAAAATTGAGAGCTCTATCACAGAAGTGTCCCTCAGTGCCCAAGTTATACACAAGAGGCTTCATGAGACTGGGATGCAGACTGCTATTCTTGCCTCAGTCCTATCAACAAATTAAATATGGGATTAAGAGTTAGCAGGGAAATGCAATTAACTTCCCTGGACCTTTTCTTTTTTTTGTTTGAGTTCTTATAAAAGAGGGATGGAAATAGACAATTTCTAAACTCTCCTCTGACACCTGAAAAAAATACCCTTTTGTCCTAACATAAACGTATTTAACAGATATCATTACACTACTGAGTACGTTCTATTTTAGTCCAGGTAAGCTGCCATGACACAATGTCATAAATTTAGTAGCTTATAATCAGCAGAAATTTTATTTCCTAGGTCTAGAGGTTGGGGATCCAAATCAAGTACCCAGCAGTTACAGTGTCTGGTGATGATGGCCACTGTTTTTATAGAAACCATCTTCTCTTTCCAAACTCAGCTGCCAGAAGAGGGAAGAGATCTCCCCTCATTTTTTTTGTAAGATTACTAATCTCTCTAAGAATTCCCCGATCTCACCAAATATCACCTCATGAAGGCCCTACTGCCACATACTGCCTCACCTTGGAGGTGAGGATTGCAATATATAGATTTTTTGAGGTGACAAAAACATATTAATTTTTAGATATGTTATATATTTTATTGGACTAAAATTGTGTGTGTATATATATATATGTAAAGAGAAGACAATTTGTATACCTATTCTTATGAAATTAATACGGTTTGTCCCTGAAGACTGGTACTGAAATTTAATCCCCACTGTGAAATATAAAAAGGGTGGAAATCTAATATAAATATGACTTTTAGGGATGTAATAAATATGGTTTTTAGGAAGTAATAAAGCCATCAGAGTGGAACCCCATGATGGAATCCTTGTGGCTTTATCGGAAGAGGGATAACCAAAGTAACCCATGTCTACTTCTCTTGCACGTGATGGATGGCTGCACGGCCTTTGGTGTCTGTCAGCACATAGCCCATTGTCACGTGAGGTTCCGGACCTTGCACCTCCAGAACCATGGGACAAAATAAAACTTCCTTTCTTTATGATTTACACAATCTGTTTTCATCATCAACAACGACAATCACCAGCTGAAGCAATAAAAATGTAATATAAAGTCCTTTCTTAGCCACTAATAGGGAGGAAAATAATGATATCTGAGCAACTTGAATCATCCTAATCCCCCAGCTTTTTCTTTAAGGTCCCAATAATTCAGAGCCCCTAGTTCTAAGTGGAAGTCTATCCCTTGTTATTTTGAAGTTTTTTTCTCTTATTTGGAATATCTTGATTATACATTACATGATGATTTCTAACCTTGGTATATATAAAGGTAGAATTTTGCACCATTTTATCCAGTGTGAGGGGGCTTTGGGGGGATCATCATAACAAAAATTAACTGGAAAAAACCTCAATCTGTTTAGGATGTAATCACCAAATGCCATAAACTGAGTAGATTATAAACAACAGAAACTTATTTCTTACAGTCCTGGAGGATGAGAAGTCCAAGAGCAAGAAAGACACTCACTGGTAGATTCAGTGTTTGGTCTGTGCTTGTCTCCTGGTTCACAGATGGGGCCTCCTCACTGTGTCTTCACAGGGTAGAAGGAGACGCAGTGCGGCACACGAACACTTTTATTGTTGTCCTCATCCCATTTATGAGGGCTGTGCCAGGAGTCACTTTCCTACCCGACCTCTAACAGCCACACACTGGTGATTAGGTTTTCAACATATGAATCATGGAGGAACATAGATACTCACACCATAGCTGGGAGAATGACGGAGGGGAGACAAATAGGTTTTGGAAGGCACTTGCTATAAATGTGAGGAAAGGCACCCTGCATTTCTGAATCACTAACTGATAAACCTCTTGAATGACTTCTAGCTTTAATGCTTGTCACAGATAATAACATTTGAGCTTTTATCTTTAATAGATATATTTGATGTACACACAGTACAATTTGCCAGTTCTTATCCCTGTAGATATCCTGAGATTGTAGAGGTTATTAATTCATTCTGGAGTTGAACGGGAAAGTACACTTTAGCTTTTTTTAAAAATCTGCTGTCAAATATATATGCTTCCTCTTCACCAATCATGCCAGAAGACACTACGTTTTCGGGCTGATTCACTACCTATAGTCAGTATCTTTTATAGGCAGCCTTCAATTTTCCTGGTTCGCAGTTCACATGACCTAGACATTTCCTCATAAATTGTACTCAGAAGTTTTCCTACAAGTTTCAAACATTGGTCTTACTTTTGAGACATTAATTCGTATCACCCAGGCCAAGGTAGTTATCACATTTTCAACCACAGTAACAACACAAAACTCTGAGGTTAACAGTTCTCTGTGGCATTTCTCATGATTCTAGATGGTTCTACATCTATGCAAGCCTCTTCCAGTTATTCTCCCTGTTAAAACCCACAAAGGGCCAGGGATTTTGGCTCAGTGGCTCACTGCCTGCCTGGCAAGTGCAAGGTCCTGAGTTCCATCCCCGGTATCCCCCTCAAAATAAATAAAAATAAAACCCAGAAAAACGCAGGCCAGTCCTTTTTCCTTTTGAGCAGTGCATCTTTTCATAAGCCCAAAATCTCACATGATGGCTTAATTTCCATCATATTCAGATTTATGTTTTTTTTTTTGTCATTTATAATGAAAGTAGTGGCTCACACTGATTTTGAGTAAAATAGCAGTTTAAAAATCATAAATCAGGTTTGGCGTGGTGGTGCACACCTTTAATCCCAGCACTCAGGAGGCTGAGACAGGAGAAATGCTATGAGTTTGAGACCAGCCTGGGCTACATAGTGAGTTCCGGGTCAGTCTCAACTACATAATGAGATCCTGTCAAAAAAAAACCAAACCAAAACAAAACAAAAAAAATCCTAAGTCAGTGTTTTATATCATCATATAGTTAATTTGTAAAATACAACAGTATAAATTTAATATAATATAAAATTTAGGGTTATCTCAGTTATATTTTATAGTGTTGTTAGGATACGATGTCTTTTAAAATATTTATTATATCATTTAAAATATTAGATTCTGTAATTTTGTTATTAAGATTATACAAAATCAGCTGTCAATATGGTATTATCAAAAGCCTATCAAAATATTTAATAAAATAGAGAACTTTGTGGAATGCTTAAATCTAGCCAATCAGCATAGTCCACTACTTTATGCTTTTTCTTTCTGTAGGCAAAATAGTTAGTATTCACCATGAAAAATTCTCAAGAACAAAATGTATTATTACTAGCTACATTTAATCATTCTACAATATATACGTAGTTTAATACACCATGCTGTACTTGATAACGCATATTATTTTGTCAATTAAAAACAAATAAAAATTAATTTTAAAAGGTTAACATTTATATGTAATGCAATATATATATAAAATTTGGAAATGCAGAATTCCAAAATTCCTCACCAAAGGCATAATTCATTGGATTTGGCAAAGCAGTCAGCTATGAGATACCAAAAAATGTTTTCCTGTAGCCTGAGTTTCTTCATATTCTAGCAAGAAAATGATGAGCAACTTTTTTCTCCTCCAAACACCTTACTGAAATAGAGATGCGCCCTCTAACATCTTAATTAACTATTGAAATGAACATGTGGATATTGACATGTTGTTTAAATCTATGACAAATCTATGAAAAAGATTTAACACTCTGAAAGATGATATCAAGATTTAGTAAAAGTGAGTGACATTGACAACGTCTGGTGCTTTGGAGTTCTCCACTGAGTAACTGGAGGGGAATTTAAAGCCACAATTATTTATTCATTATATGAATCTGCCTAATATATTTAGCATTTGTGATTTTTAAAAACACACTGGCCATTGTGCTGCTGCTAATAGGAAAAATCCTTGAAACTCCAAAAATATTTTTAACTTTTCTATTTAAACAAAATTAATATGGCTTGGAAATAGAGTGCCAACTCCTTAAAGCTGAATTTCTCAGGATTCTTTTTCATTTGCATACATGCATAAAACATAAATATTCAGGGATTCTGAGGAACATTCCAAATATATCTATTAATGATTCATCAGTATCTGTTAGAATATACTTTCCTATAACTATTGCACTTAGTACATCACTTTGAGAATCATTTATTGTACCAATTTAGATATTTCTTGAAATATTTTCCACTTGCTCTCTTACAAGCAATTCTCTTTCCCTGATTGTGACAGTACTTGCAAACCTATTTGAAACAAATGGGACAGCAAGAAAAGCTTACCAAATATTTTTATGCAGGTATTTTCCTTTTAAGAATTAAACTGAAATTTCACTAGAAGCTACAGCATCAGTTCCATATGCTTGGTAAGAGCTAAGTGAAAGGTAAATACAATTTACTATGATGTGAGCCCTGAAATAAGGAATCTGAACATAACAGTAACACTCTCCTATCACTGGATCAAAATGAAGGAGAAAGAATCTCCGTGATTTTCACAACTCATTAGGAAATACCCTGCTGTGCTCAAACTGCATGAAGAAAACACCGTTACCAGCTTATGAGACTTGATCATATGACATATTTGAAGGACAGTCAAGGGCTGAGAATCTTACGTTCTTGAAAGGATGTGAAGAGCATCTGAAATCGGCTGTTTCGGCTGCCCTCGTCTGCCCACATGCGGATCACCCCAAGACCTGTGCGGAGCATCACATCGTTAGCCACAGTGCTACAGAACTTAGCTTTCAAATCCTCCACGGAACTACTTCCGTCATAGACAGCCACAAAATTCCTTTTGCATTCATTTGAATTCTGCATCTCATAGTCCAAGAAGCGTAAGTATATCTGTAAAATAAAGATAAAATGATTTCTTTTCAAAATGTGATTGTGAAGCAGAAAGTACCAGAGAGAGCTTCCTTTCTCATTTTCAGTCTCACAAGATGGTGTTGATTGCAATCAACCTTATTATTTTTTTTCCCCACTTTGTGGATAGCAGGAAGCTGGACAAATAAGAAAATATTTTGTTTAATGTATTTTTGCAAATGTTGTTATCCTTTCTTTACTTAAACGCATCATTTTCCTTAGTTGTGTATTTTGGTTTAAATGATTCTTATATCTTCCCATAACTTATTTGGAGTTAGTTATTAGTTTTACCAGCTTATACACTGCTTACTTTGGTTAGAAAAAAGAAGTTTCAAATGTCTTTAATACGTAGCTTTAAATTCCACAGCTTTTTATTTCCAAAGATGTATGGAAAGAAATTGTTCGCATTACTACCAAAGGAAAATAAAAACTATTAAAAGACAGTCTCTAGGTCCAGTTTGCTTAAATTTTTGAGCGTAACTACACTATTTAATTTTTAAAGTGGGGCATATTAAAAACTTTTAAAAGGAAAAGCTAATCTATGATCATCCTGTCCAGAGTTACAGACAAGCATTTCCCTTACTTCCACACAAACACAAATTAAGTTCACATTTAATAAGTTAAAAAAATACTGTGCAAGTTACATTACTATTTTCGAAAACTCCTAGTAATTTTATAATTTTCTATGTTGTCATAGTCAGATGTGGGAGCTCAGATTCAGAAGGAACAAGTTGGAAATTAGGCATGAGGTACCCCTAACACCCCTGTTCACAATCCTTCCACAATGTCAATCTGTTTCCAAAACTGATTATTGGTCAATAGGCATTGCCTGACTCTGTGCCAATGTTTATTCAGAACCACAAGCCATCAATTCAACCAGAGATGTCTATAAAGACATTTGTTCATTCATTTAACAATTCAGCAACATTCACAACTTGTTCTCTTACTTGGTCATGGGCACACATCATGGCATTGTAAACATAAGGGTGAACGAAAGAAAACCACTAGTGAAAATGTGTGTCAGCTAAATCCTGACACCAAGATATAATCTTAAGATGTAGGAATTATATATAAAACAAAACAAAACAATAAAAGCCTAGGCACTGTCAGAGAGACATCTGGAATTGTTCTGGAATAACAAAAGGGCATCTTTCACACAGGTTGCTTCTAAATGTTGTTTTATCTTTAACATGCATGCCTATAGGCTATTTCCTCTCAGATTCATACCCCTCTATGTAACGTGGAATTAAACTAAAGATATCCATTCAATTAAAATTCATTTTTCATTTTTATATGCATTTTTTTCTTATTTTATATACTACAAATCTCATGCAAAAACTTTTTCCAAGATCTGGAATATTTACCCCAAATTTAACATTTCACCATTTAAATTATCTTTTTTAAAAATTTCAATTATCTTTAGCCCTTACTCAGTGTTCTTAGTGAAATATGTACTAGCCTCTGTTCATTTCTCTTTAAAAATAGTTGTTTTCCATGTCCACTGACACTTAATGACATTTTAACTGTCTCCTAACTTGCCTGGATGTTTGTGAGGTATAGATTTCCAAGACTACCTCACATACCCAGCCCGAAAGTTAAAAAACTCAGCTCAGTCTATGTTAGATTTCTAAGCAACAAATCTAGTAATTGCACTCCTTTAATCAAGATTATTAATTGGCATATAATTTTAAAAATCATAGACAGACATATTTGCCTTCTCATAAGAAACACACATTCAATACACTTATTTTGAAAAATGTCAACCTCTGCACCCATGACTGTAGGCATGGCATTCTCTATGTTCAGCTAGCAACTTCCTTCTGATTTGTCAAGGCCTCATTCAACAGTTGGATGCCGATAAAAGAATTTCTCACTTATCCCACACCTCAATTCTAGCAGAATTTTTCCTCTCCATTGTATGCTAAATTATGATTCTGAACATTATTTGAGCTATTGTCCAGGTGGTTCGTTGTTTTTATTAAACTGTGCCCCTGGAAAGTTGGGGTAGTGGTCCATAGTATCACATTCTAAGCATTAAACCATGTTTTACATGAAGCGAGCATTCCATAAAAGTTTTTGGAGTGTATATACTTATGAATGACTAGTTGGAAAATCTGTGTTTATTAATTCATTTATTGTATTTGTCAAATATTTATTAGACATCGACATGTCAAACATTATTTTAAGTGCTATAAAATAATGATAACCATATTGAATAGTCATTTTCTTATTTATAGTAGAAAACTATCAGAAGTAATTCTTTTTTTGTTTTTTGTTTTTTTTTTTTTTTTTTTAACCGGGATTGAATTGAGTGCTATAAAATAATGATAACCATATTGAATAGTCATTTTCTTATTTATAGTAGAAAACTATCAGAAGTAATTCTTTTTTTGTTTTTTGTTTTTTTTTTTTTTTGGTACCAGGGATTGAACTCGGGACCTTGAGTTTGCAAGGCAGGCGCTGAAACCACTGAGCTAAATCCCCAGCTCTCAGAAGTAATTCTTGAAGATAGAATGTAGCTCTAAAGTATGACACAAAAGTGCATGAAAATATGTTGTGGAATTGTAAGAAGCTAAAAATGAAATGTGATATCCATAGTGAAATACTCGATATAACTTTGAGAAGAAAAATAATAGAAATAGGAAAAAAAATGAATGAAGTTGAGCAATAGTGGAAAACGGTAGAATTTTACTATGCTTTGCCTGGTAACAAAGGTTTCATACACAGGCAATCTGCGACAACATTCAGGTGGAAGCTGTCCTAAAATTTCCAATTATTTAGATGATGATTTTTAAGTTAACTGCCATGGTCATAGTCACATGAAACATTCACTCCAAGAAAGCCTTTATAGTTTACCTGCCCAGGTAATTGCTTTATTATATTAAACCAAAATCTCAAATATTACCCACATAGCCCATCTATGATCTACTCTTCCAAATGCAATAATAAATTGCTGAAGTTATACTGAGAATTCCAGAAATGTCTTAATTTAAGAAAGCATATATTTGAAAAGCATTATACCTTCTAAACCCTTGACAGCTACTCTATTTTGTTTTCCAAATACACAATTTATCTAAAAAGAGTAGGGTTTTCAGATGACCTTTACAAAAACACTGGAATAAACAATAAAACAACTTGTTCAAGAAAGTCAGCAAATAGATACAGAAGGCTTTAAATAGAATTAAAATTCTCAACTCTGGTTTTACATTCTTTTCACCACACGACTACCCTCCTGACACACACTGAAAATGGGATAAAAATATAAACTAAAATGTAGGTACAAGTTTGACAAACTTGTAGAATGCAACAAAAAGTTAAACATATATTCTAAAACATACTTTATCAACTCTCAAAATAATATGCAGTTTAAATTGACATTATACAAATTTACCCATAGAGAAACAAACATAATGGTAAAAACCACAATATATTCCACTATTTGAAGTGTAGCACACAAAAACTTCTTTCCCAATAGTTTTAAAAACCTAATAATCTACCCACATAAGAAAAAATATGTAATTAATGTTTAATTACTTCAAGAAGCACCTGCTGTTTGACTGGTGAAAGTATTTCAGTCACCTAATGTGTCTGAACAACTATTTCAAGTTTCTTACACTTCATGCAGAAACATAATTTGAAATGCAAAAACTATTATTAGGGGAAAAATTGCTTGGCATATTAACAGTAGCTTTTGGCCTTTCTAATACATTATTTCATTCAGTTCTCTAAACAGCAGTGAACACTTGTTAGAGCCATTTTAAAATGAAGAAAAATAAAACTCAGAAAAACTAAGAAACTTTTCAAAGTGGCACAGATCCATAAGCCATGAGTTGGTACTGTAATGAGATTGATCTGATGTTTGGTTACTCATTGTCAAAATACGCAGGCTCACTCACAGAAAACTTCTAAAACATCCTCAATGACATTCTTCTAGAAAGAAAGTTATTGAAGGAAATGAAACAAACTGTAACAAATAAGTAATCAAACAAAAAATAGATAAGCAAAGCCAGAAGGGCTAGGAAACATGTAGACTGTCTAAATATAAATGAAATTCATAGAATTTTAAATGTGACCCTTTGAATTAAATGGGTGTCTTAAAGTTATTTAGAAATAGGTTCACTTTATACATGAGTATTTCTATAGTTAGGAAGTCAACTTGCATGCTTTGTCATTTGACAGTTCTAAAGTGTCTGAATTTTTCATGAGGTGATTGTCTTGTATGTGAAGTAAGATGACTGCTATCAGCATACCTTCTGTATTCAAAGGATATGCTTATTAAACAGAATACCCTTTGTAGAGGAAGTGAACAATTACTATCACTAGACTTTATATAATCTGCTCTGAAACATTTCACAATTTTTTCACTTTAATTTTTATATCATGTAGCAGAAGAAATAAAATATACCAGTAGAGAATTCTACTTCACTGGGACCAGAACAGATAGTGCAAAAGCTGAAATTTCATTACCCGAAAAACTGATGAGGTTTTCTCTCACTAGCTCTATGTCTGTCACATAAAAACTCTGCGTGCATTATGATTGGAATGACCATTTCATTAGCTTAAAACTTGTGCCATAATAATGCTAAGAGAAAGAATTACTTGAGGCAGTAAATGACAGAAAAATTTTCAGTCCTTCTGCATAACTCTAGCAAAATAGTCAGATTATAATCTCTCCCCAGTGAATCATTTTGATGCATTCTTCTTATTAATCAATCGCAAGAGTTGGAGCTGACAAGATGATTTATTAAACAAGGCATGGGAAACTTCAAAACATAAGCAATTTGTGGTGATATCTGTTTTTCAAATCACAATAATATGGAAGGCTGAATCCTTTTTATATGCAAAACAAATAAAATCTGGCTAACAATTTACTAGGTAATAGTTTAACAAACAAAATTTAATACCAACTGCTCCACCTGATCCCTCCTCCTGTGTTATGAATATATGCAGTAACTGAAGACTTGCCGGTTTTCTACATGACT